CTGGGATGTCAGACTCGCGGAGAAGCTCGACAAAGGTCCAGGCTCTGTGATCAGACATTCAGCGCTTGACTTCATCCACCCTTTTTTCTTGTGCAGGATGAACATTATGGGACCATCCACGACAACAAATTTTTTCCTTTCTTCCTTCTTCGGGCTCCTGAACCAAACCTTCCACCTTGTATTTCGAGAACACCATTACACACAACTACTGGTCCGGCGCAGGTCAAATTTGAGCAGCGCACTTCCCTCTTATGACGTCTGATTTGAAAATCGGGCGCTGATTTTCACCACTCGGGCTTCTTTTCAATTTCTCGAGAACTTCTTCTGTGGGTAGGTTCGCCAAATTTCACAGATACATAGCTAAAGGTACTAGCCTCCAAATGGTATAGTAGCCCGCTGCTCCTATCCCCTTTGCTTTTCTGCCATTCCTCTATATGTCTCGGCACTTTGAATGGGATGACCTAATACATACAACCGTATCCACCGTAGGGTTACCGGCGCGATGCTAACGGGAAACTCGTTCGAAATCGCCGTAGTTCGTGAAGAACAAGGGATTTTTTTTTTGCAGATTGACCGTTTAACTTTGCTTTTTCGCCATTTTCCCCACTATCACCGCTGTTACCATGTGGGCCGAGTACCGAATCGCGCTTTATTCCTTTGAAGATACGATGTGCATTCACCTTCCATCAGGATGCTGGTCTTCACCACGTGAGAGGTGAAGGGGTCTGCAGCTGAGAAACTGTGCCTGTTTCATCACTCCAAAATGCATGAAAAAGAGACAGAAGGGAAGCGGCAACTGAGTGTGATTTGGGGCTTTATCCACAGATAATACACGCAGCACGTAACAGAACGCATCGCAGAACCAGCTGCGTATTCAGCCAAGTCAATTGCGTTTATGCCTGCGCCTCTCAGTTTGGTTAAGGATATGTTGTTCATCACAACTGACCGCAATAAAGAGCTTGCCTTTTATGCTGCTCGCTGCGGAACTTCGGCATCCGTAGTTATGCTGCACAGAACCCGTCTTGTGGAGTTCATGACGAAAACTGTAGAAGAATCCCAAAGGGTGCAAGTACTGCCATCAAGTCATGTAATAGTGATAATAAAGCTCCAAAATGGGCACGAAAGTGGTCGCAGAAAAGCTAATTCGGCCACTTCTAGGGGCTTCTGTCACAACAGTCTCCATAGATAGCGATGTGTGCTCTGCCAAATAGCCAGTGGTACTAATGCGCTGTATGTTGTAGAAACAGAACTGATCGATATTCATCCCTCGAGCTAAAATTTTGCCCCAGGTGAGTAGGTTAACTTCTGGGAACATCACATCACATAACATCTGGTTGAAGCGAGAACCCTTCGCAGCCACGCAAAGGGAGCCGGTGGTGCAACTCACCTGAAGAGCCAGCCCCAGGCCGCTACAGGCATGCTACTTCGCCGGTGCGAGGCTTTCTTCCTTCAAGATGAATCAGGGGACAAACTGTTGTTGAAATAATCCTAGGGGACAAACTGTTGTTGAAATAATCCTAGCCAGATCTACTCATAGGTGAAACCTCTGGATGTTTGGGCTGGATTTCCGAAGAATGGGATAGCAGAAGATGAACAGTGCCAAGGTTTCTAGAGAATCGCTTGCGGTGTGCCAGTTAGGTTGCCAGAAAGGTCGATACATTGAGTAGGAAATTTCTTAGTGCAACACAAACGAGGTGAAACTAAGAGTCTGTCCAAGACTGCTTCCTGACAAAAGTGCAAGGTTAAGCAGTATTTGCACAACCGATTCGCTCTTCAGTTACTGTAGCGATTGCAAGGTAAAGGTAGATTATCGGAGGACGGTCTACAGTTGTGAATAAACGCGTGCCGCGCTCAGCAAACAGAACTGTTATAGTACACTTCAGTGCGGACGAAGGGGCTTGTCAGGATGAGTTTGTCTCGGTGCCAAACCAGTTCCCCACCAGCTGTTCAAGCGAGCAAGTGATGAGACTGTAAAATATCATTCGTATCAAAATTTTCTTTCAATTGTTGTCGCAAAGCCGCTTCAACAACTGGCAGAGAACGGGTTTTAGCGCCGTGACGCACTCATACTGCCTGACACGCCCCTTCATTCGCAGACTAGAGTATAAGCCTTACCTGTACAGTTGCTTTAGGCATCCAGGCTACTGCCACAAACAAACGTTCACGTATGGTGAAGGAAGTTCCAAAAACCGCCAGGAACGAAGCGATGAAACGAAACAATAATCCGATTCCAAGTATAAAACAGCCACAGATAATAGTATTGGATTTCACCTAGAAATAGTAATTTAAACAGGAACAAATGAAACTACACAAGCTACTGGAAAAAGCATGAGCCATTGTCTTAATGGATATTGAAATTACGCTGTTTATTACCAATAAAAGGATAAAGGACAAAGTTTTTGCCGTTGATCGATGGGTGGAACGATGGTGGAGCGCATTCTACTCTCTTTCAAAATCGTGATGGCATATTGAATGCTATATGGCTTTTACAATGACCTGCGGGGGACAGCTGGGTAAAAGCTGTTTTTATCCTCTCAAACGACACTGGCGGCAAATTGCCGTGCAAGGAGTGCAGGAAGCTTGGTTGGGCTGGGCGCAAGCCGATCCGAGATTCGACCAAGGGACCGCGCGGTTGACAAACAGGCCACCTGCCACTACACCACCGCCTAGCACCGATGGTAGGCAGCAAAGCACAATATCCTGCAGTAAATGAAGCTCAGTGGTACCTACCATTTCAAAACTAAGCTCGAATCCAATGAGACCAAACAGAAGTGGTTGAAAGGCAAGATGCCAAAGATTGGCAAGATGGTCTTCTTCAGGAAGAGAACCCTATAAGTGGATGAGTTTCGAAGCGTTAAGCAGTAGAAGTGAGCTTAAATCAACACATGCCTCCTTTTTCCACGAATAACCCGCAACAAATGCAGCCACTAATACTGCTATAGCACCTGCACCATCTACTCCATATCTAATCGTTGCGAAAAGAATAGCAGTGGAAAATGAAAACAAAAGTGATAGGCGAATAAGGTGCAAGTTTTTCACTTCTTTCCGTGGAAGAACATGAAGGAGAAAGCCTGAAATTTGTGGAATTTTAAGAAATTCAAATTAAAGTACAAGTTAAAGGCATAAGGCACGATAATTTGATACTCGGTCTAATATGGTAGCAGGGGTGCAATACAGTGGAAATATGGCGTAGTAAAACGGTCCAAAACCTGCAAATAATCCTTGGTTACTCGACTTAAAAACCAGTTTCGGACGACTTTCCCGCTAGTATCGTGTAACTGACGTAGCTGACTGCTCTGCAGCCCACCAGTTCCAGCGGACCATGACGCTCACGAGGAATGCAAAGGATTTTTATAATACTTGCGCGATGACGCCTCACGAGGCAATTGCCAAAGGATTTCTAGCGAAGACTGCATACGATCGGTCAACGACCGTTACAAAAGAAATGTAGCCGCATAAGTGGAACACCGGACCAAATAAATACACGGGAGCGTCCGTAATAAGCCAGCCTAGAACAAAATCTGTTGTGAAGGAAATCACTCTTTCTTCATTGCTTGCGACTTCACATTGAGAGATAGCACCACGCGGACCCCCGCCCACACTAATGAAAAGCTTAAAGCACACTCGATGTAGGAGCCAATGTAGGACGCCTTAAAGCTTCGCGTCTCGCGCACTCAGTTCGTCACGCCGAACGGATAATAGCGGTTAAGATGGGTGAAAATCAACAGGGCCGCGTTCACGTATGTTCATATTTAATGTTTCTATTCTTCCATTCTCTTTCCTTCTTATTTTGCTTTCTGTGCATAACGCCTAGAGGTTTCAAGGCTTTCAATATTTTTCTTCAGATTCGGAATTGTGCAGCCTCTTTTGCGGATGATTGTTTTTTTCCAACTGGAAAGTTCTTCGAGGTAACTCTTGCTTTTAGTTCCACTTAGGTAATCTTGTTTCGTACTTTTTTTTAGACTCGTGGTTGCCCAAGTTTCTAGAAATGGTTCAGTTAGGAATATTCCCTTTTCATTCGTATATTTCAGATTTGGATCTTCGCAACCTCCTTTTGTGACAGCTTGTTTTATGGAGGAAGGTTCACCGAGGTAACTATTGCTTTTAGTTCGTTGCGAATTTTTCTCTTACTTTCGTATTTTTAGATTTGTCGTTTCCCTAGATTTCGTATGGAGCAGTCTTTGAATGAGGGAAGGCGTCCGGGTTCTGCCATGTGCGCTTCAAGCTTTTCTCACAATGACGTGCTTTTGTTGTTGTATTTTTGAATATGTGCGGAACACAAATAAAGATCTCTTCGTGTATTTTGTATTTTTTTGTAGCATTGTCAGGAAGTAATGTCTAAGGACTCCGCTGCCAATGTCATGAGAAATACTGACCCAAGCGCGGACTGTTTTTGATAAGTGCCATTGGAACCGATTATACAAGTGCATTCATAAAAAGAAAAATGGGCACTGTTGAACTATTCCCGTCTGCTGAAATGAAGCCGGTTCTTTACCGATTGTTTTACAAGGGATTTGGCTGAAAATTTGCTTTTGGGGATACTTCGACTTACTGAACACGACTATCACATCTGCTTCGCCCGGAACTGCCGCGCCACAGGCGCCAGCGCCAAAATACCGCAGGAGAATTAATTTTACAGCAAATCGACTCTTGAGCAAAATAGAAAAAAACGTTTTACCACATCATGAACTCATTATTTACTGCAAGCTGCCATGAGCGGGATATATCACAACTTCAGGATCGTGATACTCCCCTCTGTAAGAGTACCTCCCTGGGAAAAGACGCCACACAGGGCCTGCTCGGGGGCGCCGAATTTTATCCTGTTGGACGTATCAGTCCTACACCGTCTCGGGAATTTATCGTGCCACTTGCCTTTAAAAGAGAATCTGATCAAAATTTTACCCATAGCAGAACCGAAGAATATACCAGCAAAGACCTCAGCTGGAGCGGACAGAATGGTCATCAACGGACTGCTACCTGAAGTGAAACTAAAACCAATAAAACCAAAATGCGCACGAACATGAAGACGACACTGTCCACTTTTTGACAGAGGATAGGAAAAAAACAGGTCATATTGTACGACAAAAAGCGTCTCGGCGACGGATTCATATTCTTGTGCCATTCGTCTCTCTGCCTCACTTCCATTCGGACCTTTGCGGCCATCCCTCGAAGTCACGCCCTCACTCATGGACCTACTTCAAGCACCGATTTCCGTCAGGTTACAGTTCAACACTCACTTTCCTGCCTTCTTGCGATGATTTTATGTTCATTGAGGAGGGTCTCCCTGCTGGGCGGTAACTTTTACGTTCCAGAAATCTGTTTCATGTCGTCTATGGCGGACTATTTCTTGCAAAAACAACTCAGGTCATGAAACAAAGCTTTAGGTCGAAATCCGAATGTCAACATAATCGACGACACGTTGGACTTAAGGCATGCGCTAAGAACCGCTCGCGACTTATTTTCGAATGCGACAGGATATAAACGCGTATACGAGTAAGGCGGCCACAAGAAGAGTAAGTTTTTTTCGAATTACAATCAGAAAACGATGCTTTAAAGCTGCAAGGATGTAAGTTTGTCCATATAAAAGAGAGAATCAGAAGGTTACCAAATAACGATATTCTTGACACTGTTACTCTTTTTGACTTAAGCTCAAAAAGTATGATATAATATAATCTTCCACCGGAGATTCACTACCGCAACACAAACTACCTGCTTTGTTAAAAGTTGGGTATACAATAATAATAATAAATACCTGAAGGGAAACAACAAAGACAGTGCGAGACTGAAAATGGTAATTGCATACACATCATCCAGGCTAGCAGCAGCAATGACAAGAGACGGTACACCAGCTTGTACGCCATAACCTTCAAAGGTTCAACATAGCATTACCACTATAACAGCTTCATCAGAATACGATTACCTGCTTTAGATAGGCGTTTCCAAACAGACAGGAAATAACCGACAGCAGGCGAAAACGGCAGCGCTAACACCTCGCTGGACGAATACAGCGCAAAATCAACATCAAAATCAATGAGAATCAAAATGGTTTTATTCAATGGACTGTGTCACTAGATTCCAGAGAAAATGGATGCAGTCGCGAACCTCTATCCCTAGCGCGTTCACACATATGGCACACCCGCGCTGAATTGTCAGCAATGCACGCGCACAGTCCGCGATCCGCTGCCACACAATTCATGCTCGCGGGACCGCCCCCCCCCCCCCCACGAAAGTCTAAACGGGAGTCGCTTCAATAATGTCCGCGGCTGCCAGTGTGTTAAAGATTATTCCTGCAATCAAGTATCATGGGATAGGGTCGAGAGTGATGAAGTCATGGATAGGGTCGCCACTTATGAAGCGCACTAATACACGACACGGTCATGGCCATAGCGACAAAAACAAGCCTTCTGAAGAACAAACAATGAACTCTACGTACCCGAGTAGCACACCGGATACGATATCCATGCCAAAAACTAGTTTGGCCAGTATAGCCACAACGAACATCTCTACCGTACAAGGAGTCAAGGGAGAGCCGGATCAACCCCTTAACAAAGCAAAACTAAATAACATGTTACTGGCCACACAACAGATAAACAAATCACCTTTAATCGCCTAATCGCGTTTGCATCAAGAGAGAGTCCACCACGAAGTAGAATCAATTCGCAATAAAAGCAGACTCTTCTCAATACACCACTCATTCCGTTGACTACAAACAAAGCCACTGATTCGCGCGCAATTGTCTTAACAGATTATGCGTTACCACCAGCATGCCTAAAATAGGGCGACAAATTAATGTGCGTTTCTTGACAAAAAAGTGGTTTAAAAAAAATCCATGGAAGTGTCAATGGTTACTGTGGAGTTTGTATGTCCTAACCGGAAGACTTCTTCACAGCCGACACAGGGATGAGGGGTCCACGCACAATTTAGACTCAATCCATTTAATCGCTTGAAATTTCTGGCTTTCTCCGAGCTTTTCACACATCAGGGTAACCCCCACTTCAAACGAATCAGGATATGGGGGGTTTTCAAGGGCATTTCACCTCCTTGCCCTTGAAAACCCCATATCCTGGTTGGTCACGTTTCATGCAGTTTCCGATTATCTGGAAGCCCGCTCACTCTAGCTGTCTGCATAGACTTCATTCATACTTTGCGTCAGTGTTCACCAGGCGTTTTCGCGGACACTTTCGAACCTGAGAAAAACTGTCCGCGAAAACACTGCTATACGCTGGCTTACGCTAAAGGGATATCTATACTTTCCTGGCCGGTGGCGCTCACGTACGCCCGAAACGTTGGTGGACGCTGACGCGAAGTATGAACGCAGCCGTAGAGGGTTTCGCAAAACGACATAATCAAATGTTCAAGTGATCTCGCAACCGTACCAGTGGTGCTTGTTCTCTGTCCTTCAGCAGACAGTGTTCTCCAGATTCAACCAATACAGCTTAACATGTAATGGAGAAAAAGAGTACCACAAAAACATACCTAAGAGGCTTGGCAGACGACATAGTTGTGTGAGATATCCAACAACAACCCCAAGGGATACAATAACTAATAATGAATAAATGGAAATTGGCGTAGTTATTTGACGTCGGAACAGTCGGCGGCTCAGAAAGTGACTTGTTGTGCACCGAAGTTTCTATTATAGCATTGCTAGAGATGAATGCAAAAACAATAAATACAACGTAAGCACAACAGCTGGAAATCTGAAAAGGAGCTGAAGAAGTGAAAAGAACTGCCATCAGAAGCAGTGCTTCCAAGAATTACCTCAACTGAATAGAGAGCCGGTGATTTTTGCCTTCGTCCTGATTCTGATGACGACTCAGCGGTGAATTCCAGCCGCTCTTCAGTAGAAACCATACTGGTACTACAGGAAGTAAAGGACTAGTACTAAGAATGCTAAGTACAAAACATGGCGAAGCTCAAATGAGGAGAGCGCTCGTCGGTCGCACCCACAATCGTACTTAGAATTCACCAGCTGCTGCGAGCTTGAATTATTTTCCCGCGCGCGCGGCACATTGACTCCCAAACGGGGAGGCGGTCGTTTGCCACGATTACATTGCCGTTTACGTGTTCAGACAGGTAATGACATGTGTCTACCAAGTTGGGTAACTCGTCTAAATCACTGAAGCATAAGGTTTTCGTAAT